CGATGCATCCAGGTAGTACAAAAATGTATCGTGTACTCAAAGAACACTATTGGTGGCATGGAATGAAGAGAGAAATAGCTGAGTTTGTATCCAGATGTCTCATTTGCTAGCAAGTGAAACCAGATCGTCAGAAAACAGCAGGATTGTTACAAACGTTGCCTGTTCTTGGGTGGAAATGGGAACACATTACTATGGATTTTCTATTTGGACTTCCACGGACTCAAAGTGGACATGATGGCATATGGATTATTGTAGACAGATTGACGAAGACTGCTAGATTTTTGCCTATTAAAGTCACTTACTCGTTAGATAAATTGGCAAAAATATATGTTGACGAGATAATCAGTTTATATGAGGCACCAGTATCTATTGTTTCAGATAGAGATTCTCGTTTCACTTCTAAATTTTGGCCCAGTTTACAGAAAGCTATGGGTACTAAACTTCATTTCAGTACAACTTTTCATCCACAAACAGATGGTCAGTCAGAAAGAACTATTCAGACTCTGGAAGACTTGTTACGAGCTTGTGTACTACAGTTCAAAGGGAATTGGGATACTCATCTTTCTTTGATGGGGTTTGCTTATAATAATAGTTATCATTCGAGTATAGAAATGGCTCCTTTTGAAGCACTGTATGGTAGGAAATGCAGAACTCCAGTATGTTGGGATGAAGTTGGTGAAAGAAAGTTATTGGGTCCTGAATATATCCAGATTACTGCGGAGAAAGTAAAGATAATTAAAGAAAAGTTAAAGACAGCCCAAGATAGACAGAAGAACTATGCAAATAAACGCAGAAGAAACCTTGAATTTGATGTTGGAGATAGAGTTTTCCTGCGATTGTCTCCATGGAAAGGTGTTATCAGATTTGGTAAACGAGGTAAATTGAGTCCGAGGTATATTGGCCCATATGAGATTGTTGAACGCATCGGCCCAGTTGCGTATCGATTGGCTTTGCCAACAGAATTGTCCAAAATTCATGATGTATTCCATGTTTCTATGCTTCGTAAGTATATTCCAGCCATCTCATGTTTTGGAATCACAACCAGTAGAACTGAAGGAAAATCTTACCTATGAAGAAAAACCAGTTCAGATATTAGATAGAAAGGAACAGATTTTGCGTAGTAAGACTATTCCATTGGTTAAAGTCTTGTGGAGGAATCATGCTATAGAAGAAGCGACATGGGAAGGTGAAGAGCAGATGCGCTCTCAGTATCCACGGCTTTTTCATACTTAATCAATTGAATTTCGAGGACTAAATTCTTTTAAGGGGGTAAGTTTGTAATACCTTCATAAGTAATTAAAACAAGTTATATATATATATAATGGTCAAAGATGTCATGCTATGAAAAAAAAAAAGAGATTATTAAAAATAAAATAACATGAGGCGGTGGCTTTAGCAGTGTATATCATTCCAATTCATGCAAATTCATCTCAATACCCACACACACACACAAAAGAAACCGATACAGAGAAAGAAAAAGAGAGAGGAAAAAGAGAAAAAAAAGAAAAAAGAAAAAGAGGAAGAAAAAGAAAAAAAGGGAAAATTTTCCAATGTGTTAGGAATTAAGTGCTCTATCCTATTAGTCTTGAATTTCTCAATTTTGAAAGGTAAGTAAAAAGTTACTTAATGTTAAGTTATGTTTGATTTTGTAGTTGTTAGATTGTTAGGTTAAATTTAATTTTATTGAAGGGGTTAAGTGTAATAAACTATGAAATTGAATAAAATGAAAGAAAAATTAATTTTAGTAATTAAAGAGACGTTAAAAATCGCCTAAACGTGAAATAATTATGTTTAGGTATCGCCTATTTAATTATTGAAATTAGTTAATTGTTGATTTAAAAATTATATTATATTTCAGGCGATGACACGGATATCGGGACAGCGTATCAATCGAATTGATTTTGGCGTACATAGTTCTGTGAGTGGAAAAATATAAATATTTTTAAAGTATTTATAAATTAAGTTGATTGTTAAAATATGTGCAATTATATGCAATTATGTGTTCAAATTACATGGTTTTTATGGAAATATCTTTTATTATGATACATGTGGGATTTCAAAGATTGTATACTTTACATTGTGAATTGGAATATGAGATATGATTTTGAGATCGATCAGAAAAGAACCCGTGATTATATATTTCTTCTAGTTCACTGAGGGGCCTTGGCCATGTTCTATACTACACTGAGGGGTCATGGACCGAGGATGAAGGGGTCTCGACCGTGTACATATAGTTCACTGAGGGGCCTTGGCCGTGTTCTAGAATTGATTATGAGAGATCTTTGAGACCAACTTTCGTTCACGGAGGGGCCAAAGGCCCGTGATGAAAGTTTTTAGCTCGAGGGGCGGATTACATATTTCAGTCAGAGGGTACATTTTTTGTGGATTTTTCAGCACGTTTGATGTGATGAGATTATAACATGGTTATCAGCTGATGTTATATCATGATTTTAAGATGATATTTTTATGACATTATGTGAATATTTCACTTTTTGGCTATAATTATATGATGTTAGCTTGTGAATTATCAAATGGTATGAATTTGATTTTCAATAAAAATGTATAAATGAAAAGGTATATTTATTTTGAACTTCTCGACTCACTGAGCTATCAACTCATATATTTTTTCACGTTTTTCCTTATCAGCCAGCAGTTGAGAATCTGGGCATCTTTTGGAGTTAAGCCTTGATTTTGAAGTTAGAGCCACACGACAGAGTTCGTTAGTATGACTCACTTCATAGAACATGTAGTCAGTGTTTTGGGACGCATGTTCATGTCTAGATGTGATTTTGCATCACTTGTAGTTAGTTATGGGGTTCACTATATATTATGTATCCATATGTATATTTCATTGTATTTCTTGATAAAAGTGGAGATTTCGGCTTATCTTTATTGTGCTGTGCTATAGTTTGGGATTTGTGTGAAATTGATCACAGGTTGGTTAGTCCTGTTTACAGGGGAGATAATGCCGAAATTTTGTTAGAAAAATAATGTGTAAAAAGTGATATATTGTATTTGTAGTAGCCTTGACGGTGGGTCCGACTTTTAGTTGGTATCTATCATCGGCGCATGCCACGTCCGGTTCTAGTGGTGTTACACGGGGCGGGGTGTGCCAGAAGGACCTTCATCGCAACGAATGGTTGACTTGAGGGTAAAAATGTCAAAAAAAATGAAAGGTGGGGACGTTTTCCACAATTAAGCTGAAAGGTAGGGACGTTTTGTGCCAATTACCTTTTTTGTATTTAATTAACAGAGAAACTGACGGAATGTGAACGGAAGGACGTCCAACGCAAAGAAAGATTAAAATGAGAGCAAAAATGCCTAAAAATAAAAAGTATGGATGTTTTCCACAATAGACTAAAAAGGTATGGACGTTTTGTGCCAATTACCTTTTTTCCTAACAAGTGGTTGTATGATTTCAAGAATCTACTACAACAAAAACAGCCTTTTGCAACATCCAAACAGTATTGTCGAAGACCTTTTGTAACATTCAGACGTATGTTGCAAACCTCAATGTTGTCGTGGAGTAGAAAGATACGGCAACATTTTTTGAACGTTGCTAATAACCTTTTCTGGAGAGATATAGAAAGAGAAAGTAGAAGGAAAAGTAAATAGGGGTTGGAATGAAATTTGATGGTATTATTAATGTTAAAGATTTGAATTAATATCTGATTTATGTATAAATAAACTTTAGGTCTGATTTTTTTTAAGTTGAATCTTAAAAAATCTACTTGGGTGTAATTTTCACATCCACATATTTAAGTGGATGTTTAGTATAAGATAATTTGTTTTACTGAACATGGGTTAAAAGCTATATCTACCACTAATTAAGTGAATCACGTACTTGTTAATCTCATGATTTGTGCGTCAAACTTCTACGTTATTATTGTACAAAATTAGCACGTTCATAAATTTTTTTTTTTAAACTTTTCCTTTAAAAGGCAACAATATATGTGTATAGATTGAAGAATAACACAATAAATAAAGTTCAAATAATCATCATCTCGTTACTATTAGCTTATTTTGTTTATATAAACTTTCCTAATTAATTGAACAATATACAATAAAAACTCTATAAAATATTAATGTTGGGACCATTACTTTAGATTGGATTACTAATTTATCAATAAATAATAATTCACTAATATATCAATTGATAATTGACAATTGACAATGTGAAATCATTTCTATTCAATGTTAACAAAATATGATTGACCCCGAGTACGTCTTCAATTATCTTACTGGCGTATCGATGAAGGGAGATAGTAAATACGCAAATCAATCAAATCATGATTTAGATGATAAATGTGCTCTATTAATTGTATTTTTTCAAAAAGAAGTTTTTCAAGCATTACAACTTATATATATATAGACACACACACACACACAAAATGTGGTATATACATTGCAAAAAATTAGGAATGACATTAAATTCGATTTGAATATAACGAAAGAGCAAGTGACTTTAAATGCATATTTTTAGAAAAATTGAATTAAAAGTTCTTTAATATTGAGTGACTATTTGAACTTATCTAAATGCTTATATCTTCGTATTTACTCTAGAAGTGTGTACTTTATTTAAATGTAACTCACATTGAAATTTTTATGTACAGGAGATATTGTTACAATAAATTTACAAACTATCAGTTTTAAGTTTTAACTATCTCTATTATCCTCATTTATATTTTTGTTGGATTCTAATTGAATTTTAAATAAAATATATTCATTAAGTCCTAAAGGTTTTTTAATTAAATCATTATCATATGCATTTAACGATATTATTAATGTAGTACCGAAAATTTTATTACTTAAGCGATGTTATTAATTTATTAAATATTCATTTATAAATTGTTATCCAAATTGAGGCCAAGTTTAATGACTTCGTCGGTCCAATTATATATGCAGTCATGTGGCCACTCTACCCAAGAGGCTAAAGTGAATTAGTCAATCCCATGTGAATAGAATTTTATTTTTATTTTCCTTTTAAACTTTACACTGGACAAGGATATTTTATGAAGATTCCAATAAATATCCATCAGGATCAGTTCGTAGACCATGATGGAAATTATATAGAACCTTGCTACATGTATACTATGGTATATACTTTAGTTTACACTTTACCACATGTCATTACCCTATTGAACAGTTTAAATTTCAAACAACTTTTCCATCCAATTAACATTTGACAACAATGTAAATATCAACCAAAGTGTCAAAAATTAGTGTACAAATAGCAAAGTTTAAACGTGTTGGATACAATTTTAACTTCATTTTTCTTAATACTATTGAATGGATTTTCCTTTTACTATAAATTTCATTGTTGCCGGTATTGACATGTAGAATACAATCTAATTCACTTTAGTAAACATAGTATATAGAAGTGATATTCGCCAACAATGAAGGTCAATCACCCATGATTTGTGCACTTATATATATTAAAGTGCACAAATCATGGGTGATTGACTATACAGTTTTGTTATGTAAACTTTCGCTTGAAAAGAAAACAATATATATGTGAATACATGGATGAACAACAGAATAAAAAGTTGTTTGAGTAACTCTTATCTATTCCCTATTAGTTTATTTTGTTTAAAGGATCACGATATTTCTTGCCCTAAAGTTTCCTAAAAAGTCGAACTGTATACAGCAAATGAAAATTAATATATATTTTTGTAATATAATTATGTGGAAATTATATATAGATAATGATAATGATGAAGAGTCTTAGTAACTTAAAAAACTCCATATTATAACACAATATGTGAAATATTTCAAACTTTTGATTTTACAATGTATAAAACATTTTTTTGAATTGAAAAAGGATAAATTATATCAAGGGATTCTGTTTTGGAGATTCATATTAATATTAACTATATCATATCTCTATGTCCGCCATGACTTTAATGATGAGGAGTTCTCATGTATTCTCTTTGCTTCTCATTCTTCTTCCTCTTCTCGCGTCATGTTTTGCCGACCCGAAACAGGTGGAGCGTATCGAGATAGAAGACTCATTCGATTGCGTATTTCTTGTTACTATTCGTTTCTGAAACGGACTTCTTATTGCTATTCTTAAATATGATAATTTGCAGGTCTATACAGTGTACTTTGGACATCATAGTGGAGAAAAAACCTTTCAAGAAATTGAAGAAAACCATTATTCTTATCTTTCCTCTGTGAAAGAGACTGCAGAAGATGCAAGATCTTCTCTTATTTATAGTTACAAGCACAGCATCAATGGCTTTGCCGCACTGCTCACCCCGGACGAGGCCTCAAAACTATCCCGTAAGTAAACACGACTATACGGTATGACAGTCAAGATTTTAGATTTTTCTAATTTAAATGTTGTCTGGTAATCATATCGACTATGTGATAAGGGTTTGTTCTCTCTCTCTCTCTCTTATTTTTGTCATTTTTGTGGTCTAACAGAGATGGAGGAAGTAGTGTCTGTTCTTCGGAGCCACCCAAAGAAATACTCTTTGCATACTACGAGGTCATGGGAATTCGCAGGTTTGCGAAAATGGACGAAGCCACACCACTTGAAGAAGGAAGATTTATTAATGAAATCAAAATATGGCAATGATATTATTGTTGGCATGTTGGACAATGGTATGTTAATTAACCCTAATATGCATTAAATAACTTTTGTATCATGGGGCTAAAACCTGTGGTTAACAATTGTCGATTTACCTATAATTTCAATTCAAATCAGGTATATGGCCGGAATCTAGGAGTTTTAGCGACGAAGGGATGGGAGAAATTCCACCCAGGTGGAAAGGAACTTGCCAATCTGGAGATTCCTTCAACTCGTCTAACTGTAATAAGTGAGTTTATTAATTTCACTAATAATATAATTCTATCATTAATACAGTTTGTAAATTAGTCATAATAATGAAAGAAAATTGTATAAATGTTATGTTGAATATGTTCTGTATCTTTGCACTTTCAAATAGATAATTACTTTATTGAAATCCTTGCATTAGAAAATAGAAACTATAAAAGTCATTTATACTTATCAAATTTGTAGGAAGATAATTGGTGCACGATACTACCTCAAGGGTTATGAAGCATACTACGGCCCTCTCAACCGAACAATAGATTACAAGTCCCCTCGTGACAAGGACAGACATGGAACACACACATCATCGACTGTAGGAGGCCGGTTGGTTCACAATGCTTCGGCCCTAGGCGGATTCGCTGGGGGCACTGCTTCGGGAGGTGTCCCACTTGTTCGACTCGCTATGTATAAAGTCTGCTGGGCAGTTCCAGGAGTAGAGAAAGCAGAAGGCAACACATGCTTCGAGGAAGATATGCTAGCAGCAATGGATGATGCGATTGCAGATGGTGTTGATGTGATAAGCATTTCCATTGGTACAACCAAACCTATTCCATATACTGAGGATGGTATCGCGGTTGGGGCTCTCCACGCAATGAAGAAAAACATCGTAGTGTCTTGCAGCGCGGGAAACTCAGGTCCTAATGTGTCTACATTGTCAAATCCAGCTCCCTGGATCATCACAGTTGGTGCAAGCACTCTAGACAGGGCATTTATATCTTCTGTTGAACTAGGAAATGGAATGAAACTTGGGGTAAAATGAGAAAAGAAATCCGAAAATCTTGTTTCAACTATATTGTCAAGTACTTTTAATTGAATTTAATCATTTTCACTTTTGTGATTGAAATCAGGGACAATCAATAACTCCATATACTCTGGAGAAAAAGATGTATCCATTAGTTTATGCAGCGCAAGTTCTCAATCCTCATGTCCGGAAAAATGAATCCGGGTAATCAATCTCTCCTCATTCTTCTAAACTGCGTAGAGTCTAATCATAGTGTAAGTCTCACTAGATTGCGAAATTCTACCATTTTATTATTTCTCTCTATACAAAGAGATTAGTCCCTAATCCCTAATACTTTCTTACATGTTAAAGCGATTTTATTAGCCGATTAATTGAATTTCAATTATTTATTGTACAGCCAATGTTTACCTGGTTCGCTTTCTCCCGAGAAGTCTAAGGGAAAGATTATCTTCTGCATGAGAGGCGTTGGAGCAAGAATTGGAAAAGGTTTAGAGGTAAAAAGAGCAGGAGGAATTGGTATGATCTTAGGAAATAGTAAAGAAAATGGAGATGTATTAGACCCTGATTCTCATTTTCTTCCTGCAACTGGTGTCACTCATATTAGTGCTGTCAGAATTTTCAAGTACATATTCTCCACAAAAGAGCCGATGGCTTATATATTTCCGGGCACAACAGTCTTACACACCAAGCCAGCACCAACTATGGCCATCTTTACGAGTCGAGGCCCCAATACAATTTCACCCGATATTCTTAAGGTAAGTAAAGACAAGTTCCCCATTCCTCGATTAATGTCTTTTAAATTACCTTTAAGAATTTATAGTAACTTTTGACATTGACGTTGCAATAGTAAAAGTGTGGGGTCACTAACTTAGTGATCTGATCCGGTTCAGTTTTAATAACATTGTTAAATTGTGATGGCTTCGTTGGACAGCCTGATATTACGGCTCCTGGAGTGTATATATTAGCTGCATGGAGTGAAGCATCATCACCAACAAAGTTAGACAGAGATCATCGAGTAGCTAAATATAATCTTCTATCAGGAACTTCTATGTCATGTCCACATATTGCTGCATCATGTGCACTTCTCAAGGCCATACACCCCAAATGGAGTAGTGCTGCAATAAGATCTGCCATGATAACCTCTGGTACATTTATGTCATTTCATTTCAAACCGTCACAATTTTTTCTAGCTTTGTTAGACATATCTTATATAATTGTGAGAACTTTGAAAGGGTTAGTGTTTGACCCTCTTCGAAAATTGAAAACTTGAAAAATATATCAGAAACTTAAAAGTTTTTCTTCATTTAAGTAGCTTTAACTAGAAATACACTAAATAGCTAGCTAACCTATCAACTTATGAAAATTGACAAAGAAACCCTAATTTTTCTGTGCCCTAATTTCTTAACTATTTTTATTTCTCTTATTTGTGAAATTGATCTGTTTTTGTCCATTCTTGTAACCATAATTTCCGTAGCAGGAAAGACTTTTTACACAATTTGAATCCAAGGTACTTTATCGAGCATTTATAAGATTAATTACTTAATAATTAGTTAAATGGTTGGAAGATTCGGATATTAAATGATCACATCATCATAACCATGAAACTAATTTTCATAAAATATTTCGACGGTATTTAGTGTCCTACTTTTTCCAGTAGCAACGTTCTATCGACTATTTATGTTTCTGTTTCCATGCCACCTTATATTTAACATTTTCACCTTCCAGCGGAATTGCGGAACAACGAAGGTAACCTCATAACGGATATAGCCGGCAATCCAGCAGATCCGTTCCAATTCGGAGCAGGACATTTCCGGCCAACAAAAGCAGCCGATCCAGGACTCGTCTATGATGCATCATATACCGATTATCTTCTCTTTTTATGCAGCAGTGGACTAAAGAATCTCGACTCTTCCTTCAACTGTCCAGAAAATCCGCCCCATCCTCGAAACCTAAACTGTCCATCCATCGCTATTCCAGGGCTAAGAGGCGCCGTAACGGTCCAGAGAACCGTCACTAATGTTGGAAGCAGCAGGAGTGTGTACTTCGCTAGTATTAAACCGCCGCCAGGATTCAAGATTGAGATATCGCCTCCCATTTTGTTCTTTCACAGTGTGGGGCAGAAGAAGAAATTCAGCATTACTGTGAAAGAAGACAGTGAAATGTTGGGAAGCAGGAAGAAGGGCGAGTATGCATTTGGATGGTACAGCTGGTTTGATGGAATCCATAATGTTAGAAGTCCCATTGCAATTTCAGTAGCATAGTTCTTTTTTTCTTTTTTCATTATTTTTTCCCCCTTCTTTCACATTTGAACCTTTTGACTCTTTTTTTTTTATGTTAATGTCTAGGCAGTTTTTAAAACAATGGTTTTTCCTTCCTTTCATTCTTGTTTTCATTGATTTTTGGAAGAGTAGAATCGTAGAAAATAGGATATTCTGATTATAAGTGACTTATTTACTTTTAGTTTAATCAATAAAATTTCATTAATTTCATTACTAACAACTTGTTGGCTGAACAACAAAATCGTCAAATCGCAAAATTAAATCGAAATCGTTTGTTTTAAACTGTCGGTTTGGTTCCACGTGAATTTGTCGACGTTTTGTTTTTGAATTGAACCAAACTGTTTCGAAGTGGTTTAGTTTAGATTTCAATTTTGCAAACTGTTTCAAACCACCAAACCCAAAATAATAATAATAATTAAAAAATCTTATAATACATTAATATAAATTTTATTTAATCCAATTAAAACTTAACACATTTCAGTTAAAAAAAGGCACCCACTGGACATATTTCTATTAAATTCAATTCGACAATTACATATCTCAATTAATTAATTAAATCATATCCAAATATCCATCAATCAGTGAACGTAAAACGCGCAAATTGGGTAAAGTGTTGAACAATTGGTGTTAAACCATATTCATCGATCCTCCATTACAATTGAGCAAATAGATAAATCTAGATTTTTAATTTAAACATGCACATTTCATTTCTTTCTACTGAAATTTTCTCAAATTTTGCCTAAATTCAAATCAGATTATCCAAATTCTTTTATTTTTTGGTAAATTTTTCTATGTTTTTATTAGAAGTTATGTTGTTTTGTTCTAATAATTGTCAGACGAATAATGCTATTTACAGTCGCTCACTGCGACAGTCGCCTTACGTGGCATACACGTGACAGGTGGTTATTTGATGTATTAATGAATAAAAAAATTATCATATTAATGCATCAAATAATCACCTGCCACATGTATGCCACGTAGGACGACTACCGTGGTGAGCGACTACGAATAGCATGACTCTTGTCAGACTCGCTTAAAGTAATTCGCCAATATTTGAATAGAGTAGAAGTATTGAATGATTCACAAAAAATCATAGTAACTAGGTATTATTATATTTGAATTTTTTTATTCATTTTCTTTTATTAGTTATTTTATATTATTCAACTATAATTTATGAATTCGTGTAGCAACCCCCGTTTGGCCCCTATTTTTTCCAAATTTTAATGTTTGGAATAATATTTTTTAAAGAATGTGTAGTTGAAAAATAATGAATTTTTTTTTATTTACGTGTAATATTATTTATGAAAGATTGTGTAGTTGAAAAAAAGAGAGGGAAAAAAATAAAAGAGAATGGGGGCCAAATAGAGGCGTACTATATTTTTATATTATGAAGAGAATGAATCGTGTATTACACTGCAGATGGACACCATTAGCATCGACTAAAAGTTCAAAATATTTATATTATGTTGTTGCAATATAATAATTATAATTATATAACTTTGATTTTTAATTTTTTTAGGGAAAATTGCAGTCAAGGTACCAAACATTTTGTTTATTAACAGACTTTGCCCAAATCTTTCATTTGTACCATCAGAGATTCCAAACCTTTAAAAAAAATTTGCAATTCAAGTCCAAAATCGCGATTTTCATTAGTTTAACTACCAAAATCGTCAGTTGACCCGATAAATAACAATTTTAATTATTTTTCCAAATAAAGCAAGGACAATTTGGACATAATTAATTTTCTCTATTAAATTAAAAATTAAAAAAGAAAAAATGAAAATCAAAACCCCCTACCCCAACTCCTTCCCCAACCCCATCTCCCCAAAACCAAACCTCCTTCTTCCTCAAGATCGGCCCCAACGTCGGCTCAAAATCAAGGACCACGACCACTTTAAACTAAGAACAATACCTCCATCAGTCGTCGAAGGAAAGACTAGCGATGGTCAATGTGGAAAGACACGCACAACAGCAGGTAGCATATGGCAAAAACTTCTTCGATTTCGCATCCTTTACAACTTCATCAACCCTATCTGACAACAAAATTGAGTATGGCAAAACCTCTTCAATTTGCTTTTCTTGTTTGATTGCTATCTAATTTTAGGCCTGCTTATTCTGAGAAAGTATTCCTGGTGGTGGTCTTGTCGCCTTATATAAATTGAATTCAATTGGTGAAAATTTGATCAACTTGCACTTAAAAATTTAGAAATATTGTGGAGGATTCCAACAAGTAATTGGTGGAGTAAAAAGGTGAACTTTCCCAACATGGGTGTGTTAGCGTTTGAGAAAATGGCTGGGGTAGGAAAAGGAAAGTGGTCTTATCTGGCATTGAGAGTTTTTTCCTGTGCTTGAGGGAGCTGTTGATTTTAGGTGGTGGTGATGCTTGGTTTTAAGGCAGCATAGGGACTAGCGATGTCAACGGGTTGAGCCGAGCCGGCTCGACTCGTTACCCTACGAGCTCGGCTCGTGCTCGGGCTCGTTGCCCAACGAGCTCGTGGGCAACGAGCCCGGCTCGAGCTCGGCTAGTCAAAAAAAAAGACCTCGACTCGGCCCACGAGCTCGTGGGTGGGGACGAGCCGAGCTCGAGCTCGGCTCGCGAGCTCCTTTTTTAATTTTTATACACGTTTTTTTTCTAAATATTTTTTAAAAAATACAATTTTGATAAATTTTTATCTTATAAGTATTTTTATTTTGTAAACAATTTATTTAGATAAAGTATGTTTTACTAATAACTTATAAGTTATAATTTATAAGTAATTTTAATTATAATGTATTTTTTTATGATTTTATCTTATAAATAATACTTACTTATAACTTATAAGTTTTTTTTAATTATAATTTAATTTTTTACTTATAAGTTATAAATAATTTTTAGTTAATATATTTTAATTTTCAAGTTTATTTTGAAGAAAACATATTGATTGAAAATCATTATTTTATAAATGATAAAATTAAATATGATATGAGAAATTGTAAAATGATTTTTCAAAATATTTTTCTTTTTTAAAATAATAAAAATAATAAAATATAAACCCTCCTCCTTTATCCGGACTTGGGAACGGCTACTTCAATAGTTTTTATTTCGAGTAGGCGGAGTTAAAAATTGTACAAGAACAACTTGTTACGTGTACAATTTTTTTTAAAAAATTATAAAGGTATTAAAATAAAAATTCGTCATAAATATGATTAAACTAAAAATCACTTACTTGATTACATGCAATTTCGACATATTTATTTTGCAGTCGAAAATGAGCGTCTTGCCAGTCCTTCACGCACATTAATGCTTCCAAAACATCTTCTTTTAGTCGATTCCTAACATCAGAGAGAACCCTAGACCCTGCACTAAAAGCAGATTCCGAAGCTACAGTGCTAACCGGAGGTGTTAGTAGATCTTTTGCCATTGCAGAAACTATTGGCCGTCGGCGTTCATACTTTCGCCAGAAGTCAACTACTTCTTCTGAATTTTTCCTTAATGCATTGTTACTAGGCCAATTATGATTAAAGTAATCAAGTAATTCAGCAGGCAACGCATTTTCACTAGTATATGCAGTAGAAGACAAACTACTATGACTGGAGGAATCATATGCATTTCCAATTTGACCAAATCTATATGAGTTCATACCATCAAATAAATTTAAAATTTCAGCATCGTCATCTCCTAAATTAGTGGGAGGAGTACTTGTAGAGTCGAAGGGTACACGAGTAACTTGTGTACCCATTCGTGAAGCATATATTACATAGATTTCAGATAAAGTTGCTTCCAAATTCCTATAGGTAATAGGTATGTTAAAAGTTAAAGATTCTGACATTCGCTCAATTATAAATTTAGTACCAGATAAATTATATTGGGGGTCCATGATGCATGCTAACGAAAATAACATGGGCAAGTCTTCCCAATATTTTCTAAACTTTAATTCCATGGCATTTATAACTGAACTAAAATCGGGGTCATTTTTAAATCTATTAAAAGCCCGAGCAACTAGATAAAGACGTTGAAGGACCATACAACTAGTAGAATAATAAACACTAGACAAAATATTTGTAGCATCATAAAAACTTTTCAAAAAATGTTTAATTTTAGTAACTAAAATCCAATCGGGCTCAATCAAAACAGTTTCCTCGTCGTCTCTAAAATGCCTACTGTTATAAAATTCAGTAATTAAATGTTCGAAACCTTCACATGATTTTAATAATAAATATGTGGAGTTCCATCTATGAGCTACGTCACTAATAAAAGTTTTTGAATGCGACACCCCATGTTCGGCACAAAAGTCCTCAAATGCTTGTTTTCTACTAGGTGAAATAGTAATATAAATTAGTGCATCCCTAATTCGTTGAATTTCATCCTTAACATGTTTTAAACCATCTTGTACTATTAAATTTAAAATATGACATACACATCGAATATGAAATAAAAAACCACCAAATTCAGGTTGAAGTACTCTTTGCAATTTCTCGATAACAGGCTTATTTACATTAGCGTTGTCGAACGTAAAAGAACGAATTTTGCTCTCGCATTTATATTCTCTAATAACGTTCATAATAGCACTAAATATATTGGGAACATTGTAGTAGTAGTAGCACCGCTGCCTGAAGTATCAAATTGTAGTTGCGTTTGACCAGCAGGAAGAAGATCATGTTTGGCCGTACATGCTTTGTAGTGACGGTTGAGGTGGGTGGTTTCAATGCCTTTTTGATGAGCCAATCGTTGTTGACAGTATTTACATACTGCTTTGGTTTCTGGAATTCCATCGACCATACGATCAGTTTGAACCAATTTAAAATGATCCCAACATTTTGCATGCTTCTTTACCTTTCTCTTCCCTCTTGCATCGGGAATTTCAATAACAGGTTCATCATCCTGTTCCAAATCAATTGGAGCATCAACGTCATCCAAATTAATTTGATGACTACTTTCATGAACATTGTAATTTTCAATATTTTCTGGAATGGGTACTTCATTTAGACCGGCGAACTCATTCCCATATTGATTATGGGACACATTTGCTTCATTTCTGACTCCGACATCGAACAAGTTTTCAATAAATGAGCGTGAATCCATTTGTGATTAATTGAAATTGAATGTTGAAGAAAAAGAAGTGAAGTAGAATTGAGAAATGAATGAAGATTATGTAGTAGTGTAGAAACTATATTGTAAAATGAAGATTATAATTTAATGATATGAATATAAAATGTAGAAGAGTATAGAAATGAGAATGAATGAATGAATAATATTGATAATAATTGAGTTGTAGAGAGTATAGTAGAGAATAAGAGATTGATAGTAAGTTTGGTAAGAAAAAATGTTGTAATTGATGGGTATTTATAGGAAGAAAATGAAATTTGAAAAAAAAATATCAGGGACCAAAACGGTCACTGACAAAGTTCAGTGACCGTTCGGTCAAAAGTGACCGAACGATCACTGAACTTTGTCAGTGACCATTCTGGTCACTGAAATATTTTTTTATTTTTTTTTTTTGGACGAGCCGAGCCACGAGCCCGGGCTCNGAGCCGAGCCACGAGCCCGGGCTCGTGGCTGCTCGCCGAGCGGCTCGTTAGATTGACGAGCCGAGCCCGGCTTGGCTCGTCAATCAATTCATAGGTTCGGCTCGTTGCTCGGGCTCGTTTTTTCCGAGCCCGCGAACTACTCGGGCCCATTGCCACCACTAATAGGGACCAACGTTGAGGTAGTGGCGTAGGAGGTGGTTTTGAGCTGTTGTTTTTGTTTTGGGGTAAGGGAGTGGAGGGTTATGGTTTTTCATTTTGCTTTTTTAATTTAATAGGGAAAATGAGTTATGTCCAAAATGCCCTTGACTTATTTGGGCAAAATAATCTGATTTTTAATTTTTTTTTTGGGTCAATTAACGGTTTTTGGGTCAAGCTGACGAAAATCATGATTCTGGACTTGAGTTGCGAATTTTTTAGCACAAATGAAAGATTTGAGTAAAGTCTACTACTAAACGAAAGGTTTGATACATTGACTGCAAATTTTCCCTTTTTTTAATGATACAATTTATATTTTAACGTAAAATTTTATATTAATATTTATGATTTAACTTATTTGATATATATTAATTTTTTTTCTTTATAAAATCGTGGTTTTAAATCGATCCAAAAAAAAAAAATGGTTTCGATTTGTTTGGTTTAGAAATCGAAATGGTTTGGTTTGATTCGAAAAAATTCCAAATCATTTTAAATAGTTTGATTTGAAAATTTATTTCAAACCGAACAAATAAAATCGGGTTCACCTCTCGTAATCAATTAAATCTAGTTTGAAGTTCACTTTTTAAGATTAGCCAAAGATGCGATCTTTCACTTCTTGACTCGTCATTCGTTGGAGCTGAACTCTTGAGAAGTGACATCATAATGAGGAAAACTATTGCGTTCTAAAAACGGAAAAGATCAATATAATGGCATTATTGGCAGCTGAAGCAGAGAGATAAGAAGCAATAAAAATATCCAAGAAGGGCCAATGAAGTTTAATAAAACCAAATCATACTATATCATTAATTTGTCCTCCACAAACAAAATTACCCACAAGAATTTCAAATCAAAAGGAAAATCAAGCAGCTAATTGAATATCCCCAATCTCCAACTGAGCAGCAATTTCTTCAAGCTGCGTCTTCACACTCATGTCAATCAATTTGGACCCAGAACTTCCATACCTTATGGTGAATCCAGCCACCAGTGAAGGGTCAATTACGTTTTTGATTCTCACATTCTTTGCGCCAGTCAATTTCTGCACTTCTTTCGCGATCTGGGACAAATGCTGTGGCTCCAGATTCACCACTGAAGTGACAATTGCAAGTTCAGTATCCGTTAATTTGTTGTAAATAACTTCAAATTCCTTTACAATTTCCTTAATCAATTCAATTCTTTTCATGTCAACGAGAATGTTAAGGAAGTTGACGACATGGGGCTGCAGGCTTGAAGATTCGGCGATCTCGTCGACTATTGCGATCTTCTTTTCATCATCTATGGTGGGGTTTGTGAAGAATTGTACGACATCTGGATTGGAGAAGAATTTCTCTAGTTTTTCGATGTCGGCAGAGGTTTGCTCGAGGGTGTTGTTGGATTTCGCGACATCAGATAGGGCAAGGGCGTAGCTTCCGGCGGCAGATTCAGCCATTCTGGCTCCAGATGCACCGCCTCCGCTGCGGTTGCGACGGAGGAGGGGCTTGATTGTGAGTTTCGGGAACTTGACACCAGTACAGAAGGAGAATTTGACACTGGGTCTGGAACGGAGTTGAGTGGAGGATGGTGATCGGGACTGGAAGGTAATAGGGGTTTGTTGCAGAGCGGCGGCTGCGGCCATTGCTAACACGGTGGAGGAAGAAGGAAGGATAGAAAGGGAGAGTGAAAGGGAGGGAATTTGGATATTATGAATAGGCAGGAGGGATTTTGATAAGAACTGACGACGCAGATTGGAGGGAATGAGAAGATATACGGTGTATATTGAATTTATTATCTTGTGGGATTGTGGAGGAGGATGGTATCTTATCTAAAGGGAATAAGAAATTGACACGTGTCCGGCTCACATAATCAACATTGACCCTCAAGTCTCAAGATTTCGATTTTGACACCGAACTGACCCCATTCTAAAACCGCTTGGTTTAGATTTCACTCATTTTTTAAAAACTATTAAAATTGAAACAAAACATTTTTAAGAAAGTAAAAAATTGTTTACTTAACAAACCACAAGTGACTCACCCTATCAAGGGACAAGTTCGTGGGACAAAACAAGCCTATATTTGGTGAATCGAGGTAGCTTGCACTCGGCTTGACTCGTCATGCACATAGAAAAGTGCGAGCTGACCCATGCGGTAAATCGAGTTCATCTCGAGTCACTCCACAGTGGGTGAATAGAAATGTTCAACTCAACTCATTAAACACCCTTATTTGTAAACTCTAATAATAATGAAGTCAATAGTAAAAAATTCTTTACTCACACAATTCAATTTTAGAATATATAGGTTAAAAAATTTTAAGACTTTTTTGGTATGATAAATTACAAAAATAATTAAGGTCCACTTTTGATCCTTTCAGCTTTAAATCACCCAACTTAGGTCCTCTCACTTCCAACTTCTTGCGGAGTGGTCCTCCATCTTCCAAAGTAATTCACCTTGGTCCTTCAACTTTTATTTTCTTCAAATTCATTTCTCGAATGATTGTTCAAATTGGTCCCCAAACTTTTCCAAAAAAGTTTCTTCAATACGAACAGATTCTAGTACATTTCAAAACAATGTATCTCAAAGTTACACTTATCCAAAATTGTTAAGCACGTAACTAAAATTTGTGGGAAAAAAGCTAGAAATGAAAATCTAATACGACATAATTATGTGTACATCATTTATTCTTGCAAAAAATATAATTATACTTTTTAATAAAAAGAATATATTTATAAGTAATTTAATTAGTGAATACATTCATGCTTCTCGCCATATTTTCCAATTTCAAGGTTTTACAAGGAAACAACACATTAAATGGCTGTTTCGGATCAAATTAAGGATGAAGAGTTGATCGAGACCTACTCATGAAGATATGTTGGTGTGCGCTCGGTTATACTTTAAAATATAAGAACAAAAAATTCGAAGACTAATTAAAATTAATGTTGTGCATTCATCAACATATGCTGAAGAAGTTTTTGAATGAAATCTGAGGAATGGGCATCTTGATAATTATATGCATTAAGATATTTGTACAAACTTTGGTTGACAAAAACTTCAACTCACTATCACATACATGTGGTCCCCACATGAATTAAATAATTCCGACATATAGACTCCACCTTTCCATTGTAAGTATAAGTAAAAGATTTTGTACATGTGGCATCTTCCTAATTATATTATACATAAAAAGAATAATTAAGGAAAATGTCAACTGGCTATCTGGCATTTGAATAATATGCATGACTCGCTCCATATGTTCCAATTCTGAGGTTTTGCAAGGAAACTAAGAAAATGTCGGCCAGGAAAAAATTAACAAAACTGATGGATTAAAAAAAGTTGTTACGACTTAGGTTTTGAAGGAAATGGTCATCACGTTTTATAATGTCCATTTGGATAACACGACTTATTTTTTAAAATGATATTAGAAATCCCAATTTTTACCAATCAGTTTCATTTTCCATCGAGAAGACCCTTTTGAGGAGATACTTTTCTCCCTCTGGTGCTTATAAGCATGAAATAATTTTAAAAAGAAAAGGATAAGTGTATATTGAGATTTTAATTTATTTTTTTTAAGAGAGAGAGAAAGAGAATTTGTCTACTTAATTTTAAAAAGGAAGTCAACTATATTATTTCCTCTCTCCATCTTGGTCTTTTCCGGACAATAACCTGTCGTTGAGAATTCATAATAGGCGAGTTGAAAAGCTCATGTATGAAAGTCAAATTCTATTGCTATCTCTCTATAAATTACGTTAGATGAGTTGCACCATAATATGCATAAGCTCAAAACTTGAGCAAAAATGAGTAATTACTTTAGTAGAATTCTTCCCTTTCTTCTTATTTTCCATATACTCTTAGCTTCTTGTGCTGATCAACCACTGCAGGTAATTTGTTTCCTTCAATGTTAATTAGATCCTCTAATTTCATCAACGTGCATGTTTGGCAAAGCTTAAAATTTTAATTTAATCTCAATATTTTTCAGGTGTATATCGTGTACCTTGGAGAACATAGCGGGACGAAAACTTTCCAAGAAATCGAAGAATTCCATCGTTCTTATTTGCACTCTGCCAAGGGTTCCAAAGAGAAAGCTAAAGACTGTTTGATTTACAGCTACAAGAACGTCATCAATGGCTTCTCAGCATTGCTTAGTCCAGAAGAAGCTGCAAAGATATCCGGTGTGTTTAAAAATATTTAAGTAATTAATGCTAAAAAAATATACATATTGGAGAGACTAACGTGCATGCACGTCCCCTTTGATGCACGGAAACCTCATATAGGGTAACATTTCTGGTTTTTACATGTTTTAAAAATTGAACCGTGCAAAAAGTCTAAATAGTGTTTTTGAAACTAAGTCCCCCTTTAAAGAGGGTCTTTTGTTTTTGAAACAATATTTTTTTTTTGTCGCGAAATCAGTTATTTTTTGTTTAGCTAAAAATTAGGTTTTTAATATACTTTGATAAAATTTAATGAAAATTATGATCGAAAAGTTGATAAAAGCTGAGAGTTTCGTGAAATGTATAGTTAAAAATGAGTAGGAGAAAAAATAATTTTAGAAATGAGGACCAAACAGGTGCTTAACATTTTCAGTGTCGAGTCGTTATTTTTATTTCAGCTTCATATTCCTTTTGGCATGAGTTCACATACAGTTGAGGTCAGGGTTTTTAGGCCTATTTATACCTTTCTTGCTCAATTAGCGTAAGCTAATGATCTTTTTTCGTTGATCAGAGATGGATGGGGTGATATCGGTGTTTCATAGCCACCCAACCATATCGAGGCTTCACACGACAAGATCATGGGATTTTATTAACTTACTCGAAGGACTTGGAGATCCAAACCCTCCAAATGCCGAAGATTTATTGCGTAGAGCAAATTACGGGAAGGATGTTATCGTTGGCGTTTTGGACAGTGGTAATGTTAACAATTTTTTCTTACTATTTTTGACAGAATAAGTAATTTAAAATAAGTTTAACTTACATTTGAACACAGCCAAACAAGCCTAGATAAATTATCTTCTATAATATACATGTAAATGAATAAATATAATATAATATAATGGAGATCAAAACTTAACTCAAGTAGTAAGGGCGAAATATTACGAGTTTAGTACCCTGAAAATTAAAAAAATAAAATAAAAAGGGTTAGATATAAAGTGTGTGGCAAACTAAACTAATTGAAATATTCTCTTTCTGGATTAATCATTTATTGGTGCTTGGAATAGGTCAATTACTTAATCAGAAATTTTTTCTATAATTAAAGTTAGAGTCAACTAAGTAAATTTCAATTCATTATAGATTTATTAAAAGATGTAAAATAATTAAATTATCATTAACTTTAATTGATAGGACACATAATATGTCTCAACCTCTTAATTTGTTCTCAATCGATCGGTGCCATCTCTCGTTCTTAGCATAATCAACATTCAATATTCGCCACTAAACGTTGGAGAATTCTCAATCCTATTCAAACTTATTAACACTTATTTCAATCGGTAAACTAAACTTATTTTTATGTCCTATATGGCCAGAGTCTGAAAGTTTGAATCAGTAAACAAACTAAATTTTTTGTCATTATGTTCTCTAAGTTATTTCAATTTTTTTGCATTTTGTATTGTATCTTTCATTAGGTGTATGGCCAGAGTCTGAAAGTTTCTACGACAACGGAATGGATCCTATTCCCCAGTCATGGAAAGGGATTTGCGAGAATGGCGTTGCTTTTAATTCATCTCATTGTAATAGGTAAATATTGGGGAGAAAAATTCTCATATTCAATCAAGTTGCTTGAATAAAAAAGCGAAAAATAAAAAATAAAAATAAGCAAGAAGTTTACATATATTTGAATATTTGGTTTCTTGACCATCTAGATATTTTGAAAGAAAGAAAATTAAGCGTTGATAAGTTTGATAAGGTGGTTTTAAGAATAAAAAACAACTAATAAAGAAGAAAATTAAGTTAATATATCATATATTGTAATTTAGTAATTTTTATTTTTTTTGGCATTATGCAGAAAATTAATTGGAGCTCGCTACTATTTGAAAAGTTACGAGGCATATTATGGTCCGCTCGACACTAGTCTAGACGTTCGATCCCCGAGGGATACAAATGGTCATGGAACTCACACATCATCGACCATTGGAGGCCGAAGAGTTCCTAATGCTTCCGCTATTGGTGGACTTGGCAGCGGCACTGCCACTGGTGGCGCTCCGCTAGTGCGCCTTGCCATCTATAAAGTATGTTGGCCGGTCCCAGGCCAGACTCCAGCAGAAGGAAACGCATGCCTAGATGATGATATGCTTGCTGCATTTGACGATGCCATCGCGGATGGTGTTAACGTAATCAGTGTTTCCATCGGTGGGAATTCTAGCAGGCCGTACACACGAGATGGGATTGCAATCGGGGCATTGCATGCAGTGAAACGAAATATTGTAGTAGCATGTAGTGCAGGAAATTCAGGACCTAGCTCGTATTCTGTGTCGAATGTGGCCCCTTGGATCATTACGGTCGGTGCAAGTAGCATTGATCGTGTTTTTTCATCTCCAATTGTGCTTGGAAATGGCATGATAATCGAGGTAACTAAGGAAATAATTGTAGTTGAGAGTAAATTTTTCATACATAATTTTACAATAACTAACGAAAGTCTGCTGCTTGATTGATCAATTTAAACCAGGGACAATCAATAACTCCTTTTACGAATTGGACCTACCCCCTTGTATATGCTGCAGATGTAGAAATTCCAGGGACAACCACCAATCTCACAAACGGGTTCAAACTTTTATGTTTTTCGCTATTTCTTTTTGTATACACTTTAGATTATTTTTGAAATTTTCTTATTATTTTCTACCTGATGTTTTTCAGATTATGCCTACCTGGCACTCTTTCGCCAACATTAGTAAGGGGAAAAGCTGTTTTCTGCTGGACGGGCGATCTTTTTCAGTCATTAGAAGTGCAAAGAGCAGGCGGTATAGCAACTGTGCTTGGAAATAGCTTCCAGGGACAAGGAGTACTGGGCAGGCCTTATTTGAGTCCTGCAACAGTTGTTTATTCTGATAAAATCGACATCTACAATTACATTGAAACTAATCAGAATCCAAATGTCACGTTGATTCAACCAAAGACTGTAATAGGCACTAAACCAGCTCCATTCATGGCTCCTTTTACCTCGAGGGGCCCCAATTTCATCGAACCTAACATTCTTAAGGTACTACTAGTTATCCAAACTTATGAATATTAGATTGATTATGAGTAATTGTGTAGCTTGCTCATTTCAGTTTCTTTAATCTGTCATTGTGTAGCCAGATATTACTGCTCCAGGACTAAATATACTTGCAGCTTGGAGTGAAGCGTCTTCTCCCCTAAAGGTGCCGGCTGATAATCGAGTCGTTAAATACCATATTGATTCAGGGACATCCATGTCTTGCCCTCACGTTGCAGCCGTAGCTGCACTTCTTAAGGCTATACATCCGGATTGGAGTAGTGCTGCTATACGATCAGCTATCATGACCACCGGTATCTATATGCGCAATCATCACATCCCATCATTTATAAAATTTTCTTTGGTCTAATACATTTTTTCGTCTTTTGCAGCAAAAATCACCAACAATATGGGAACACAAATAACAGACTCACTAGGAAATATTGCAACTCCATTTGACTATGGATCTGGACACATCCAGCCATCAAAAGCTGCTGATCCTGGACTTGTTTATGATGCTTCTTACGACGATTATCTTTTGTTTCTCTGCAGTAGCACTGGCAATGTACTAGATCCAACTTTTAACTGCCCTCTAAATTTACCCTCGGCAAGTGATCTTAATTATCCGTCACTTTCAATTGCAAACCTCAAAGGATCCACGACTGTCAAAAGAACTGTTACAAATGTTGGCAAGACAAACTCTTCATACTCTGTAAGAATAAACCCCCCTCAAGGTTACTCCGTTCAGATTTCTCCAACTAATCTATATTTTAGTGCGACTGGAGAAATAAAAAGCTTTAGCATTACAATTGAAGCTCAAAGTACCGCCAGGAGAAGTGTTTTTGCGGTCGGTTGGTATACTTGGAGCGATGGGATTCATCAAGCAAGAAGTCCTATTACAGTAGCCACAGTTTAACTGCTTATGAAGAATATCACTCTATTTCGACAATATAACTATACATATAGTATAATCTTCTTCTTCTCTTATTATTATTATTATTTTTTTTTTAATCCTCGTCGTGTGCATATCAATAAGAATAAAATGTAATATAAAGATAAAGTTTGCATATATGCAAACAGAAGTTCTCCATTTTCTTCATTTTCCACTCGTTGGTATCGTGATTATATTCTTGTTTTGTACCTTTAATTACTCGACCTCATTCAAATCATCACTTAGTTCATGTTTGGTTTAACTAAAAAAATTGATAAAAATCAAAGTCAGAGTGATTTTCCTCTCGTTGGTATCTCAGCAGGTGCCTGCTGGATTATACGTTCAATTTTATAAAATCCAGTACAGCAAAGCACATAAATATTTAATTTCTCAGAAAAGCTGAATATAAATATTTCATGGAAAGGTTATAAAAATTAAGGGGAAATGTGAATCATGTCAACGGCTTCTAGAGATTTGTATCACAGCTTGATCAACAATTACTATTGCATGTTCTAGTTTCCGAGTTTTTCGAAGAAGTAGTAATTGAGTATACATTTTTAACTTAAATTAATGACCTTTTGGATCAATAGTTGATTTTGCGTGATCAATTAGAATAAACTTTGGGCAGACAATCCGAAAAAATGATACGAAAGTCTTCTTAATATAAAATATTCAGTTAATAACTTAGGTTTTGGTTTGGTCTATATAGATTTAAGTTATCCTATATTTAATTGGATAAACAAAGTTTGGCTAAAAGGTTGAACTCCAACCTTGAGGGCCCGCACCGCCCTACTCCTGGAGTATCGTGAGGGAGGTAAATCGCGAGATATGTCCCAACAAACCAGGGAACAAGAGCTTGTCTGTACACTAGTGCTCACAAAGAGTTCAATTTCATATTTCAGGAACTGAACCCTCACACTGCGACTGTCAGCAAGGCTGAGACTACCTCACTCCTATCCTTTGCACCACTGCGATATGCCCCGAGAGGCAACAAAGTTTGGCTAATAGAATGTGGTAGGAGTTACTGTTTAAATGAAGTTTCGTATGAGCTGCACTCCATGAATGAAAGGTCTTTGTGTTACTATATGGTCGAACCACTCGTCTATAAACATAACATTAATTTATTTAAAATTTGGCACCCTCACATATTCTTTTTCATCTATGACTATTTCTCTATAAATAGTGTAGAGGAGTTGAAAATAAAATGAGCAATGAAAGTTCAAAAGCAGTCCAATTAGGCTTAGGGAAAATGACTAACTACTTTAGATTTATACCTTTTCTTCTCATTTTCCAGATCTTAGCAACGTGCGCTGCTCGACAGCGACTGCAGGTAATTTGTTTCCTCACTCAATTTACTTTAGTTCCAACTCGAAATTCGTTGTTAATTATTGGGTTAGAAAGACAAGCAAGTCTAGATTCAGGCACTCTTTGTGAGGCCGAATGTGACGGAAAGATCATATATACAGATTTAAATCTTTTACAGGTGTATATAGTGTATCTTGGAGAACAAAGTGGGACAAAAACTTTTCAAGAAATTGAAGAATTCTATCATTCTTATCTGAATTCTGTAAAGGGCTCCAAAGAGGAAGCTAAAAACTGTCTAATTTATTGCTACCAGAACGCAATCAACGGCTTCCCAGCATTGCTCACTCCAGAAGAAGCTGCCAAGCTATCGGTACATGCTTCAAACGCTCAAATAATCATACTTATTCACTCGACTGCGAATCAGCCAAAGAAATTTGTTAGGGGACCATTTTTCGTGCAACAAATGTGAGAATACCCCCACTGTTTTTTTTCATCATGGTGAAACTTAAAGATGAATGTAGCTATCATATCAAGTGTCAATCAGGGGCGAGCCAGCACCCAATGAGCCCTTGCGGCTGCACGTGCTGGCTCCGCCCGAATTTTTTTTTTTTTTTTTTCCCTTATATTGGGCTGCCGTTCGTGTTCATTTAGATTTTTGGATCCACCAGTAGTGTCAACAATTAGTAATATGTGTGTTTATTTGCTTGTTTCTCGATTTAGAGATGGATGGGGTGATTACGGTATTTCATAGTGACCCAACTAAGACGAGGCTTCACACGACAAGATCATGGGATTTTATCAACTTACTTGAAGGAACTGGGAATTTAAGCTCTTCAAATGCAGAAGAATTATTGAGCAAAGCAAATTATGGAAAGGATGTCATTGTTGGGGTCTTAGACACCGGTAATCTAAACAAGTATTTTAAGATCTATACGTTGATAACAATATTATATGGTATATGCCCACAAGTTTAATTTTTATTATTTGTATATTTTCTTTTCAACACACTTCTCGTCCATTAAAAAACTTAAAAATTACTCTTTTACTTAAAAAGGAAAAAAGAAAAAGAAGAAGAAGCTTATATTTGCCAGAAGGCATGAGTTACTTTGACAGCATGTTTCAGTGAAATTAAATTATTGGTGAAAATTAAAAATAAATAACTTAGTTTTGGTAAAAGTAACATTTTGGACTTAAAAGTTAAATATATTGTAACTTATCGAGTTTCGAAATAAAAAGTTTCTCAAAAGTAACTTTGCATTTTTATAGACCTAGCCAAACAGGCAAACATGCATGGTTGTCCTGGACTTGAGATATGATAAATTTGACTGTTTTCCTTCGTTATCAATTCACTAACAATTTGACAACTCAATATATTAACTATTCATCTCACAAATAGTAAATGAAACACATCACACAACAAATGACATCATACTTGAAATGATATTTTGCTATTTACTAGAAAGAGGTAGTAAGCCCTTGTTTGATCCTCATTCTTTGTTAAAAATGTATTTTTTAACAGTATTGTAACATCATTTCAATTACATATTTTTCAATAAAATAATATTACACACAAATCTAAAAAATTTGCTTATTTTTTAACCACACATTTCACATCAATACATTATTCAAAAATTCTTTCTATCCCCAAAATGGGGCTCAAACAAGAGCAAGATATCAATATTTTAGTGGAAGAATAGCTAAAGGGACAATATATCTCGACCCATGAACTAATTATAACTACTTACACCCAACTTTGAATTGCTTAAATTTTTTTTTTTATAAAACTTGGCCAAACAAGCAAAATATCCACTCTCTTTTATATGAAGCTATAGCATCTATTTCAAGTGTCGTAGTGATATCTATCTTCCATTAATAGGTATATGGCCAGAATCGGAGAGTTTCAATGATCATGGAATGGAACCTATTCCCAAGTCATGGAAGGGGGAATGCCAAAGAGGTGTTGGTTTTAATTCATCTAACTGTAATAGGTGAATTCATCACACATATTGTGACTATTTTTGTTTATATTAACTATATATTATGTCATAAAAGATGATTTGTTTGGTATCCTTGTAGAAAGTTAATCGGAGCTCGTTACTACTTGAAGGGTTACGAGGTTTATTTTGGTCGCCTCAACGCAAGTTTGGATTTCCGATCACCAAGGGACAAAAGTGGTCATGGAACTCACACTTCATCAACCATTGGAGGCCGAAGAGTTACTAATGTTTCTGCACTCGGCGGATTTGCTAGTGGAACCGCCATTGGGGGCGCTCCGCTCGTGCGCCTGGCCATGTACAAAGTATGTTGGCCAGTTCCAGGTTACAGCCTGGCAGAAGGCAACACATGTCTCGATGATGACATTCTTGCTGCCTTTGATGATGCCATCAGGGATGGTGTTCAAGTAATCAGTGTTTCAATGGGTACATCGACTGGTAGGCCGTACAAAGAAGATGGAATTGCAATCGGGTCATTGCATGCAGCTAAACGAGATATTGTAGTCGCATGCAGTGCAGGAAATTCGGGCCCTTCCTCGTTTTCAGTATCGAATGTAGCCCCTTGGATGATTACCGTTGGGGCAAGTAGCATAGATCGGATCTTTTCATCTCCGGTTATGCTTGGAAAATATACTATAGTCCAGGTAATAGAGAAAAAAAAAATCATTTGCATAGCACATTTTTGAATAATGTTATTTGTTGTTGACGGCTACATTAGTCATCCTACGTGACATCTTATGTGACAGCTTATTATTAGATGCATTAAATTTCTGTAATTTTGTTACCTCAACTAACAAGTTAATATTTTAATAACTGACACATAGATGACTATTGCGATCGCTGATTATGAATATAATTACTCTACATTTTTTGATCTTATAATGAACAAAAAAAATTATTTTGATCAGGGACAATCCATAACTCCTTTTAAGACTCAGACATATCCCATTGTTTACTCTGGAGACGTCGAAATCCCTGGCAAGACCATCAATACCACGAAAGGGTTCAAACTCTCTTTCCTTTGTTCTTATCCTTAATTCTCATTACAATTCAATTATATTTGTAACTTTTCTTATTATGATCAATGGAAATTTTTTAGACTATGCCGACCGGGTACTCTTTCATCAAAACTTGTAAGAGGAAAAGCTGTTTTCTGCCGGAGAGGGGGTATTTCGGAGTCGTCAGAAGTGCAAAGAGCAGGTGGCGTCGCAACTGTGCTAGGAAATGTTTTTCATGAACGAGTAGTAGTGTGCCAGCCCTACTTGATTCCATCGACCATAGTTGCTTCGGCAATCAGTGTTCACAATTACATTAAATCTAATCGCGATCTAAATGTGACGTTGATTCAACCGAAGACCATCGTAGGCGCTGAACCAGCTCCATTCACGGCACGGTTCACTTCTAGGGGACCGAATGCTATCCAACCTAACATTCTCAAGGTACCATTATACATTACTACTTAAAAAGAGCAAGTATTTAGAGTTGTCTATTTAATTTATTAATCTATTTGCAGCCTGATATTACTGCCCCGGGACTAAATATACTAGCAGCATGGAGCGAAGCGGCTTCTCCCTTAAACATGCCTTCTGATCATCGAATCGTTAAATACCATATTGATTCCGGGACATCCATGTCTTGTCCTCACGTTGCAGCCATTGCTTCACTTCTTAAGGCCGTACATCCTCGTTGGAGTAGTGCTGCTATAAGATCTGCTATGATGACCACTGGTATATTACCCATTGTTCTAAAGATCAACTCCTAGGCGCAAAGTGGGCAAAAAACACCTCTCCTCTCGATTTTTTCGCATTTTATTTTATTTTTTTCTAGCGTACCCGCGCTTTTTTTGCCCTTTTATGTTTTTTTGATTTAATTTTTAAATATTTTAGATTGATTTATAAAATAAGAACGCACTTTTTTACACTCAGGTTGAAGCTTGGCATCCAACTTCGCCACACTTCACGCTTTATAGAACATTGCTTCATTTTCTTATCTGAACTTCCTGTGGCCTAATACTTTCATTTTTGTTCACTGCAGCAAAAATAACCAACAATTTGGGCAAGCGAATAAGAGACACACAAGGAAATATTGCAACTCCATTCGAGTATGGGGCGGGTCACATACGTCCATCAAAAGCTGTTGATCCCGGACTGGTTTATGACGCTTCTTACAATGACTATCTTTTGTTCCTGTGCAGTAGCACTCATAATCTCCTTGATCCATCGTTTAGGTGTCCTCGAGTGTTACCTTCACCAAGTAATCTTAACTATCCATCCCTTGCGATTGCAAAGCTTAGAAAAGTCATGACGGTCAAGAGAACAGTTACGAATGTTGGCATGAGAAACGCTTCATATTCAGTGAGAATATACCCCCCTCCGGGTTATTCTGTGAAGATTTTTCCGACAACTCTACATTTCAGCACGACCGGGGAAAAGCATAGCTTCAATATTACAGTTAAAGTTAAAAGTACAGCAAAGAAAAATAAGTTCGCATTCGGTTCGTATACTTGGAGGGATGGGATTCATCGAGTAAGAAGCCCCATTTCAGTATCCTCAAAATGACCTCCCTCCGAGGAATATTAATCCACTCTACTTCGACACAATAATTGCCAAATGATTAGTGTAACTTGTGTTTTTGCAGTGTCCTCTTTTTTGACATATCTTTGAACGAAAGAAAGAAAGATTGAGGTAAAATTAGAACATTTTTAGTCCAAATAAGGAAAATTCTAGGAATGAATCGTGCTCGGCAGAAAAGAAAACAAGTGCTGCAAAATCCAACACAATTTCATACCTCCCCAGTCTGGAAATGACACATTAAAAACAACATTATTGGGCTTTTTGAGAGCTGAGCTCAGTATTAGAAGATTTTCCCAACCGAAGTCCGCAGTCTGTAATGGAAAACGAAAGGTCGAAACTTGAAAGCCAGCCCACTGCTTCCAGCGCAGGTCTATCAATTTCACCGTAGGGGCTGGTCTAGAACTTATTACCTATGAATAAGCAATTGTCTAGATTTTATAACCCCATTGGTTGCAATATTTTTTAAGAAAAATCCAAACGGATGAATAAAATCAGTTCAAATAGGTATTTGAAGGTTTATTATTTTAGTTCAGTGAGTTTGTTTTCTCAAGGGCACAAAACCCACCAACCAAGAGTTTGAAACATAAATTAAGTATTCGAGTCCATAAACAAATGGCAAGGAGAATAAAGTCTAGCTCAAGAAATAAGAACGGAATTTTACGAGATTATTGACATGAGTTCGAGTCTCATCACGTGTGACGGTAAAATTCACCCAAAAACAAACGAAAACAAAAAACAAAAGGCAATACTAAGGGGAACAAGGGGAAACAAGATCTACACAAATGGGAAAAGATGAGTTCAAATCGATGCCTGAATACCTTGTCTGGACAAAGTGAAGTTTATAGTGTGCTTTTGTGCGTGTGAGAGAGAGAGAGAGAGAGAGAGAGAAAAAAATATATATATATATATATCTACTCCATTAGGCAAACCAAAGAAAGGTCAAAGAGAGCCCACCAACAACACCATTAGATTCAATTTTGCTCGAGCTTAGAAACCTTCTATCACATTCAAATGAAACTCGATTTCGGATCCTTGTGGATCATTATTTATTTCATTCCTAACAAAACTAATGACCAACCCTCGTACTAGAGAGGAAAAATTGAAGTGTACATATAATATTATGTAACTCAAAATTTTATTCGTAGAACTAATAAATTAAGATCAAATGCATGCGAGTATTTCATTTTCACATGCTTGTACACACTAACACGCGTGTATGTACAAATGTTGATTATGATATACTCACAGAATATGGTGTCAAAATTCAATTGAAGCTTAAGCCAAAAGTCATGTCAACATGCTACGAAAATTAATTAATAAATTTTAAACCAACCTAAGAAAATTGAACGCTAGTATCTTTCGGCATTATCTTATGAGCTTAGCAAATTATTTTTGAGGAGAAAAACAGTTGGGGAGATGAAGACAATGAATTGACGAATAACGTGGGAAAGGGATAGAATTTGAGGCTGTTTCCAATCCTGCACCATTTTGTACCAAATTTTGTACAAAATTAAAAATCATTCACAATTATTACATCAAAATTTACACGAAATGAACAGTATTTACTCATTTTCTTCTCTTTATTTATTCTTAATAATTTATTTATTTTACAAATACATAAATTACTAAATAAATAATTACGTTAAATTAAGAATAAGATTAAATTCATTAATAAATACAAAAACATAGTACAATTAGTAGAAACACTACAAAAATGAAAATATTAAATCGTGCTATTAAAAATTGAAAATGTTAAATCAAATAATAATTATTATATTAAAAATATATAACGCAAATGATATAAATACCTCCATTAATTACTTTGACAAATGGGAAAAATGGCAAATTTGACTTTGCACCATTTTACACCAAAAAGGTACGAACTTTGGTGTCACATTAAAGGCATCTCCAATGTTAACACCAAATCACAAAATGATGCAAAGTTGCTTCAATACAACACTATACTTTGCACTATTTTGGTTCAAAATGGTGCAAAGTGTATAGCCACTTTTGTCCTTTTTTATCCTTTCCCAAATAAATTTATTAAGAGTATTTGTTTTATTTGTGCTATATATTTTTTAATACAATAAATTATTATTATTATTATTATTATTATTATTATTATTATTATTATTATTATTATTATTATTTGTATTTAAAATAAATTTTAATGTAAGAAATAATAATTTATAAATTAATTAAAAGAAAAAAAATTTAAAATATAATAAACACAACTATTTATTAAAATTAACACGAAATATATTAAACAACGACATACATACCATAATCTAATTTTATTTAAACAAAACTATATATAAAAAAGTGCATAGTTCAATAATTTGGAAGATCGCTTCCCGATCCTCCAAAATCGTCAAAAATAATTTTTTATATTTAGTAATGAATTTAATCTTTTCCGTAATTTAACATAATTATTTATTTAGTAATTTATGTATTTATAAAATAATTAAATAAATAATATTTTAAATAAATAAATTATAAAGAACAAAAAAATGTGGAGAAAATAATTAAACACTTTTCATTTGATGTAATGTTTGGAGATGAATTTTAATTTAATACAAAATTTGATGCAAAATTTGATACAATCCCGAAGATGGCCTCAACGAGCTTTTGCACCAAATTTTGGTGAAATTTAGGACAGATTACTCATGCTCATTCCAAAGCATTATTATTTTTATGGTCTGAATCCATTATTCATTCAATGAAAACTAAAAATCTTTTATGGGTGGTTTTGGTGTAGCATTGGAGATGCCGTGAAGATTAAAAAGAATTCAACTCCAGTGAATATCCCAGAAAATATGTCGAAAAGTTCATGGTTTAGGCAAATGGATCCAGATTTTTTCAACGATGAAGATGGTAATTACAGAGAAATGCACCCACCCCCACGTCATCATAGAACGGAGTCCGGCAGGAAAAAATGATGTCATTTATGGTTTGTGTGGGGAATGGAAGAACTGTCAGGGGAAGGGATTTAATTTTGGAATTCAATTCTCGAGATGACTAGATTTCTTACAACATAATAGTATTTTAATTATTATTAAAAGTTATTTTTCTTGAAAGTAATCTGAACTATAAACCAAGCCGTTATTATAAAACTTTATCAAACATGAATTGAATTAAAGAAAATAATTAAATGGAGCATACAGCTAAAAGCGTTTTACATTAAGCCAACCCTAATCCTGTTGAGTGACAAACAGTCCACAAAGAAACAAAATCATCCAGAGCAGAAGATTGAATACCACTGAGCCAATTAAAATTTTCAAAATTCCTGTTATGATCAGACCAATCATTGTACAGATTAGTCTTTGTGGTAGCATCAAAATTATACATGACAGTAATAAAAAACTAAAAAGCTCTGAATTTCTTTGCATTTATTTTTGGCAATGTTAAGTACATTGAACTTCATAAAATTGGACGGGATTTAAGAAGGAAAATATGCTATAAAAATTATCGATCATCAAGTTCAGTCCTTGTTTAGACCATCGTACAAAACATAACATCGGCATTCATGCCATAGTTATCTTCCCACAAAATTACGAATCTCTTATCAAAGTCGAGACCTGAGAGAAAATGAAGGGGACAAAAATCCATTAAAATTATAGAGCAAATGCCACTCCACTAGAGTATGTTTGGCTAAGTTTAAATCATAATTTAAGTTGATCAAACATAATTTTTATCCCTACATTTTGTAAGACCAACAACCATCCACTTATTATCACACATTCAGTAAGATCCACAGCTTATAAGCACTTAAAATCACAACCAAACAAGTACTTACATTGACAAGTGATGACCAAGGAAATGATGAACTCTAAGCACAACTCAACATATGAACTCTAGCTTTTACTTCGTCGTGAGGGTGCTTTCTTCTTTGTCGGTTCATATGCGAATTGGCTCAGATCCATGTCATGAGTTGACCTTCATTCAATAGGCATACAAGGTTATAACATTGATGTCAATTACATGTGTTTGAAGAATGAAATAGGCATTGATAATATTTACCTTTTTTTGCAAGTGTTCTTTATATCTTTTAGAGGGGCACGAAGACCACTGGCACGTGAACCACTTGAGGTAAATCTGAACGATGATATCACTGAAACAAACTTTTCCATTGATTTCTCGGCTATGTCAGAATAATGGCCCAAATGAGATATATTGCACCCAAATTTTCCTTCACCTTTTGTTTCTTCATCCAGGTTATATGCGCAGGTACCTGTAACGAAGAAATATATGACAACCTTTTTGCATAATAACGTCTAAGCATTGGCCTCGAATCTTGGAAAGTAAGAGAAGTTTAACCACTTCATCAAAATTTAAACAGGATAAGACAACTTAATTATCCTGTAGAAGGCCAAAATGATCTGCATCACTAATGAGCATGAGGCGCAGAGAGTTCTTAAAAGCCATAATAGTAATCAATACAGGTTTATGTTTAATAAACAACTACTACCTAACAAGGTAAATGGAAATTAGATAAGAAAACTTGTGCAACGCGTTAATTTCGGATAGAGTAATCATCTTTTTGTAAAAAGGACTATAGATAGACCAAGAAGCATACTAATGGAATTTTCAAAGTTTATCATCTTGGATTCTCAATATTTAAATGAATCAGTTAAGATACACATATAAAGAAGGGCACAGTTCTGGTTTCAGTACAGCTAAAGACTTATAATTCCACAAAATGCCTAGAAATTTTGCATGTAATTCTAATAGGAAGAGACATACCCGATGTCAGATTTGCACCATTCACTTCTTCCTGAACAAAGTGAAGGAAATATAACATTTAGCCATAAAACTAAACAAGGATTGAAAACAGAGACAACGTGGTTACATTTGACAGGTCTTACTATTTGAGAATCCATATAAGCGACTTTTCTTTTCTTTATTTTGCCTTCGGCATAGTCATCACTTGAAGAACTTCTAGGAATAGTACATTCACATGTCTCAGTAGTAACATAGCCTCCAATTACAAGGTCCTCAGATGTGGTGCCCTGGTTATGCTCGTATACTGAATTTGGCTGAAAATAAGAACTTCTGACCCTACCCCTTTTGTTGTCGATTTTTGTTTTGCACTCACCAGCATCAAAATCAAAGACATGCATAGGGACAGCATCATTTTTCACTAATTCATTTTCTCTCTTGAAATTATCACTGTCGGTCGTGTTGTTCTGAAAATAAGAACTCCGTAAGATAACTTTTTTGTTTTCTGCTCTACATTTTCCGTCTGGTGCTTCTGAGACAGACTTGTATACGTGATTCTCAAATCTGTTAGAATCATTCTGATCCATATCAATCTTATTTTCTTTGTAAATTTCCTTCGTGGACTTGTGCAGAAAATAGCAGCTCCTTACAACTACATCTTTTGTTTTAGATACCATTTTACCACCTTCTCGATCTGGAGCACGATCCTTGTGCAACACAACACAAGGCTTATAGACTGAACTTTGTGGCAAGTTGTTTTGTTGCATTTCGTTGTCATTTGCAACTTCTCTGTCATGTAGTCCTACTCAAGAGTATAATAAAATTAGTAAATTTAAATTCAAGACTTCCTAAACAAGCAGTTTAAATTTTACTTGTTACCTAAAGAAGAAAGTTCGAAACTAAATAACCTTTTTCCGGTTGAAGTTCGAATAAGTTAATTTTAAAACCCCTACCTTGCAATTAAATAAAGTAACTTTTTAAATTATAAGAAAGAGAAAAAGTCACATAGCTAAACATGAATGGAAAAAAAGTTCACTTCAAATTAACTTTAAGTTTAGCCAAACATGTTGATCGGTAGAAGGACAATAGATATTCTTACCGTGGTCTGGTGATTCCACAAGCTCAGGACTATCAGTGTTGGCGCCATGTTTTACCTGAAAGTACAAAGAGGGAATAAAATATGCTCCAATTATCATGTGATACTGCAATGACACATTTTATGATTTACTTACAGAGTCCATACGGACATCAAGATTAGGACTTGAAGTTTCATTGCTTGCATTTGGACGCTTAGGAGCAATTCGAGGAGCCCTGAATTCGCTCTTCGCCTCAAGAGAGGCAAAACCTTAATGTGTTAAGAAAATACAGAACTTTTTTTTTTTTATTTGTTATTTGGATTTTGGGTAATCTAGTGTATTGCTTTTACAGTCGCAGCATCATACACGACTTCAATTAAATAAATCTTGTAATACCATTTACAGAATCCAGAGAAAGTAAAATGCAAGTGCATGTAGTATCAGGTGAAGTCCCCATCTAACTGAGTATGTTACTCATTGATCTTCAATAGATGAGATCAAAGCATCACAGAGATATAATTCTCATGATGTACCAACAGCATCAGCAATACATGATGTAAAGGAGTATCACAATTCTTCAACCACGTTGAAATTGTCGAAAACCCAAATTTATATGCTTAAGTGAAGGATCCATAAGACACCTTGTCGAAGTATTAATTGTTCAACAAACATATATATGGATACAGTAGTAGTTAGTCAGGAGATTTTTCTGCGCAGGCAAATCAAGCTTTTTCCTTTCACCTTCAGGATTGAAATTCTTGACTTGGTAAGTTCCATTAAGCACTTTTTCAGCATTACCACATTCTCTCTGCCAAACAAAGAAGATTAAAACGAACCGAGAAGCGAATGCAGCCAGTTGAAATGGAAACAAATTAGAGCTAAAAGAGGCGAAACAAACTTAAGAGTTGGGTATCTCAGATTGGAATAGTCTAATTTCGTGATAAATCACAATAGTATAATTATTTCAATACAGCAGTGATATTAAGTTATGCAGCCACGCCACATACCTAGCCTCATCTCAATCTTGGAATAGCTTTTTATAAACTTCGTTTTACTCAAAATATAAACCTCCGTCTGGCAAAATTGATAAATCATTTATAAAATGTCAAACTTTTTTCAATCACACATTTCAATGGACACACAAGTATTATCCACTTGTCTACCACTCATTTACATTTGTTTATATATTAAACCATTTATAAAAGAATATGGCCATACAAGTGCGGAGAGAATTAGATGATAAATTGTATGCCAACAAATAGATGTGGCACTGATTGAGGACAATTTAAGTAAAAAACATCTTAGTTAATTGGGCATATCTTGAATATAATTAAGAAGCTCCCAGTCATGAAACTGATACAATCCTATTAAACGAGTTTGGAGAGAGAGGTAGACCAAGACAAAAGGAACTAAGAGCATGTAAATAACTAAATACATCCACAGAAAAAAAATAGATACAGAAAACAATATAATACCTGGAATGCTTCTTTAGTAAAAGGATCGAGGTCACCTTGTGCTATGCCTTTAGCTACATGCTGGGGCATTGATGTGATCTTGGTTAAGGCATATTTTCCAATGAGGAAATGGAGATGTATACTTTAATAATTAAATTGTAAGAATAGTTAACATTGATAAGGATATGGACCTAAGAAGTCTAAATTGTCGTTGATATCGTCGGATGGCTCCGATAGGTGTACAATATCTTCAGTAACAGGATCATAAACTCGTTGATGCAGAAATGTCAAAATTGCTTTCTTGAAAGATTCTTCGTAAAGAGGAGTCACTGTAACACTATTGTATATCAAATGTTTGATTATCTGTTCAGGAAAAATCAAAATCCATTAGTCAAATCTATTTCACGATCAACAAAAAAGAAATGGGGTACCTATAATGGATTTCAAATTTCATGAAAAATCAGTAAAAATGTAATATTATTAAACTTGTCTTAACACGTGCTTTAACGCCAATATTTACCTTGTCATAACTTTTAAACTTTTTAACCAGGGCATGAGACTTTTTCAGCCCTATTCCAGGCAGAGACTGCAAATAGTCACAACCACTTATTATGCACATTTCAAGAAACATCTTCTGGGTGAAACCTGTTAAATTTAGTTCCTTGTTGTGTTGTAACATTGACTGCCGAAACTCGACACCTTGCCCAAATTTATCCATCTTGTAGATGATCTGGATGCCATAGAAGTTTAGTCAGTAAGATACACACGTGACATTCAAAATGGATGCATCAATAAAACAACTAGATCTCTTTCGATAACTTAAGTTGTAAACAAAGAAATTAAAGCTTATATATTGAGAATTGAAAAATTGCAAACATAATACTAAGAAACTCACTCTGGGACAACCAAATGCTATTAAATCTGAGTCTTCAGTAATGACTGCATCAACCTGTTTGCTTACAGCCAAAAATGTCATCTGCGCGTCTGCCTCATAAGGAGCCACGATAAATGAAACATTCTGCTGCTTTAAGACCTTCAAAGATGAAAATTATTTTGGAAGGAAAAAGATCTCCAATTACAAACGGAAGATATTATACTAGTGAGAAGTCATATAGGAGATTTAGGGACATCATATGATCCTTAAAGACTGATTATAACACTGTTGCAACAGTCATGCATTTCCAACCTGGATTAGGTCATGGGCAACTGAAGGTGATATATCAATAGCCTTTTGGTAACACCCATAAGCAGCACTCAAGTTTCCATTAGACTCATGCTCCATAGCACGAGAAAGGTTTTCCCTCCTAGACCTGAAGTTCAAAATTTTACCATCAAGTTAAATTCAAATAGCTTGTCGTAGGATACCACTTTAACCATCTTATATGAAAACCAATTAGTGTCCTAATGCCCCCAGGGCACATCTCCAAGTGGTAAAAGGGAAGAGTGGAGAAATCCAACTTTGCTTGAAGCTGCTGCGTCAAGGGTTCGAATCCTGAAATATGGATTTGGCTCTTGAGTAAGTGCAAGTGTACAAGCAGCCTTCCACCCTATACCCTTGGAGGCATAACCTACGATTTACCTCCCTCACGATACTTCAGGGTAGGAGCGGTGGGGGACCCTTAAGGTTGGGGTTCAACCTTTTCAATTAGTGTCCTAAAACTTCTTTGACACTCGACCACCATCATTTGAGTGACTTTAAAATTCAGTTATCACATGCAAAGCACTACGAGAGCATTATCAGACGGATATTTCTGGTGATGTCTGCAATAAATGAAGACCAGTCTGGGTATTTCCAAAAGAGCTGTGTTTTTAACCGTAGAAAAAAGGCATTGTTTAAGGAACCTTTTGACCACTGTTTACATACTCGAGAAGCATGTCATTCAAGCAACATAGCTTTTGATTGTGAAGATGGGACGGCATAGGAAATAGGTGAAAATGACAAAAAAGCTTAATGCAGCCAAGCAGATTTGACACACTGTATCATACCTGGCACGCTTGTTCTCTTGGTCGAGCTTCATTTCTAGGGGACCTCCATCAAAAACAAGAACGGGTCTAATGCCATAATGACGCAACAAATTTACTCGATGCATGCAGTAGTCAATATGCCTGGAAGATACAAATAAATCAACTTGTTAACATATGTTTTTAATCAAGTTTACAAATTACCTATTACTGCTTCATTTAAGAAACAAATTGTTCCATTCGCTCTCATGTCTCCATCAAAAGATGCCATTTTAGCAATCCTAGAGCTAGAAAGAACTCACAAAAATTGCTTTATTCATTCTTATTCTAGTAAGATGATAAAATACCTTTGAAAATCGTAAAATGTTCTATTTTCAGAGTGAACACGAAATTGCACACTCATCATCTGAGGAAGAAATACTTCACACAACTCAAGAGACAGGACAAAAAATGATGCTTTTTTTTATGGGACTCTTAAAGCATAAGATTGATTATTTACAAATTCCAAGTAATATGCCTAAATTCTAGGTCAAAGAAAGCAATACACTGAAAGCAAAAAAGCCCATTTACGATTTATGATTTATCATAATTTACAGGAAAGCAGAATAGTGTATAATGTGTTTGAGTTCTGTACAATGTGTTCAAATAAATACATCATCCATATGATGAACTAACATAAACCATCATTCCTATCACAAGTATATGTATGTATTGATAGAAGGAGGGATACTTGGAGGTGGGCAGGCCTTTACAGAGCTCGGTACTACAAGAAAGAGCGCCCTTGTGGAGCCAAGAATACGTGTCAACGGCAACGCTGCAGCCCTCCAGGTCCTTTATGTGTATTGGCGTCATTATTGATTTCAACAGAGGCAACAGCCCTGTAATTCCCATCTTTGATTATACTCAGAATCTCTAAGAAAAAGAAAATCTTTTTCAGGAAAATTCAAGATTATGGTGAAATTGAAAGGGATTTCTTGAGGTGAAAATGGGAGTTAAAGTGGGCTTAATTTTGGAGGATTAAACTGGTATTATCATCCCCATTTTGGAGAGGGAAACGGATACGGATTTTATCAGGGAAATTTGAAATGGCGGGAAGAATATTTGGAGATATTGGACAGGTGACTAGACACAGGCCAATCTGAAAAGCCCAGCTTCTATTAGGCCTAGCTACTGGACCCCCTTGCCTGGTCCAGATCTATTTTTCCCAAGTGGAAATTACATCGGTCCAGAACTTTCAAGTATCTAGTGCAAATCTCAGCTGGAAATGTTTTTCAAGCATAAGTCAGGTATTGAGTTAAAATAAAAAATAATTAATTATTTTAATTATGGCGATTAAATAGTAATTATTTTAATTATAGTGCGTTCCCTTAATTATTTGAATTCAAATTACCAGTATTATCCAAACTCGTTTTCTCTCAAATTCTTCCTCCACGACTGCACCCACTATTTCCGGTTAGTTCATTTTCACTCTGGCTATTTCGAATACATTTTGTTCTTCTAGTTTGTATATTATCAACTGAATCCATTACATTCATCATATATTCTATTAGTTACTGCTAAAGTATATTTTGAAAAAGTGAAGCTTCCATAAGCGACGTAAAATGGCGAAATCGAAGGGTACAGAAATGGTAATCAATGTCAAAGAGTCACCACAAAGAAGGCACAAAAAGAAAGACGAGGGGAGCTCCAAAAAAACTCCTCTGAAAAAGTGCGCATTATATGTGATCGTGCGGAAAGGGTGCTCGAGCAAGGTTATTTAGTCCTTTTTTTATAATTTAAGTGATATGTATGTGTTTAAAAATCGTTTGGTAGGATGTATTGAAGATGAATTGGACATATATGACCTTCACTCTATTCAGTTCCATTCGTGATTGGAATGTGTTAGGGTTTTGGGTTTAAAACCCATGTGTTATGGAAATTGATTTTTCTTTTTTAATTTTATGACTAATATGTATTCTAATCGTGAAGAGGCTATATGTGACCATAATATGTGAATGTGATCGAGGTTGTGATGAATCTGTGGCCTGACAGCATAAATGTATGCATGTGACCTAATTGGAATGGGTTGGGGGTTTTGGTTTTGGAATGTGTTATGAATCCCTTATGTTTTAGAATGCATTATGATTCTGTGACCAAGATATGTGAATGTGTTTTGGAATAGACTAGATGTGACCATGATGTGGGAATGTGTTATGAATTTGTGACTTGAATGCATAATAGTACGTATGCCCATGACCAGATTGTGAACATAATCGATGATGTGTTCTAAACATACTGTCTATGTGTTACCATACACAGTCTATGTGTGACCATACCATATAAATGTGACCAAAATTTATATGAATATGTGGCTTTAGTATATAATTTCATCTGTGTTTGTGTCTTAATTTTATTTTCGAAAATGATACACGTTGTAAATATAGAGTCCATATGTAGCAATTTTTAAATTTTATAAATGATGTATACTAAAAAGATGAAGAGTCATTATATGACCATAATGTGACCAAGATTTTATGGATATATAGCTTCAGTCAAAATCTTGTCCATGTCTATGACATTGTTAAACAGTGTGTAACAGTGTGCAAAACCTGCTCTAATTTTAAACAGTGTGTAACATTTTCCTCTGTGTGTGATTTTTAATATAAGTGTTTAACGTTATGTCCATAATTAATGCAGGTCTGGCAATTCAAAATACCAGAAGACAATTGGTTTCCGGGCAAGATCACAAGCTCAGTGATTAAGAGTGTTCTAACTACAATTCAAACAAACATAAGCCAATGACAAAAACATATATTGATGGGCACATGCTATGTCCATTTCTTTGATTGCCATGAAATTGTGATACAATTGCAGTTGTTTCACTGCTTCCTTCTAAAGCAGGTTCATCACCCTAACGACCAAGAAATGTGGTTTTATATCAAAATTCTTTTGTATTAGCATATAGAAGAAGCTTGGTATCCTACCAAATGAATCGGCTAAACACCCCTAATCATTTTCGAAGTTCATTCACGAGATCTCCAAACTTTTGAATAATTCAAATAAACTTTATAAGTACGCAACATATCACTGTATATATCCTTCGGAGTATATATAGTAAGGAAGACCCTTCATTCTTCTACCTCCCTAGCACATGCGACCAATACAACTATGACTCGAGTGTCACATGTGACCTATTATTTTAATTGATGCTTCACATACGTTTGATGCCATGTCCTACAATATACACAGCTCACTGCCAGAATGTGCATTAATTGACACTGTGATAGATGTATTATCAATTTCTGCATCTGTAACATTAATGGTTAATGGGTATTTAACAAGTTCACGTTCCATATCCTTTAACAGAATGTACGATAAGATATTATTATCATTTTTATCATGATTGGTGGCAAATCCTCATTCAGCATATACTTCAACGATACTACTACCTTTGTAGGATCCAGATCAACATAAATGCGTCCACAATGTTTACATAATTGCAATTCCAGGATTGAGATACATTTAATAAACATATGTGCAAGCACACCTTTCTGTAAATTAAAATTAACATCAACATTATCCTCGCAATTAAAGTAATACAATTGTATGAAAAAGGAGTAGAAAATAGTTGTTTCCCATTAGAGTGACTCACAAGATATTTGAAGATAATAATTATACTAAATAAATAATTGGTTTTGTTCTTGGAATATTGGATAAATTTCATTCACAACCACTGAACTTCAAGGAAGAAATTTGTCTGGATCACTAATTTTAATGTCTCCAATTGGTTGTTTAGTTGACATTCATACCATAAACGATTTTGAGTGGCAATTTAAATTTAAAACTAGTAAAACAAAGTTATGACAATATCTTTAATTAAATATTTAAATTGAGGATTTTTATTTATTTATTTATTTATTTTTTACTTTAACGCTTGTATGATTTGGTATTGTGGTAATTATATGTAGAAGATTCACTCTGATATCATTGCTAATGAAACAATTTACATCAATTCAGGCAATAACATGCGACGAAATTGTGAAATTTAAAACTAACTTAAAGTTAATCATCCAATTTGAATCTAAATTGAAGTTAAAATGATGCAATTAAAATAAATTAAAATTTAATGAATTCAATGAAAGTTCACTAAGGGTCCGTTTGATTGTAAGAATGAAATTTGGATGGAAAAAAAATGAATTATAGGAAATTGAATTGTCTAAAACATATTTTACTAGGAATTGTCAATTAAATATGTTTGATTGATATAATTTTTTACCTGAAAAAAGTTAAAATTTAAATTTTTTGGTGTTCATTTGACTTTATTTTTCATAAAAATTGTCAATTAAATGGATGTAATTTGTTATAATTATGGATATAATTTGTTTTCATTGCCAAAAAAAAAAAAATTGAAAAACCCAATTCCTACCAAAATCAAAGGAAAATCAATTCCTTAAAAACCAAGAAAATGTGATCACATGCGGGTTAATTGAAAAACCAATTTCACGGAAAATTTTGGCCATCAAACATATCATTTGACTGGAAAATGAAAAATTCATGGAAAAAGAAGCCTATCAAATATGCCATAAAAGTTAAAAGCGCAGATGATATTCACCCTTGGGACCCAATTGAAGTTTTTATTGATATGCATCACAGCCAGTAAATGATTGGCCGGTGGACCAGACTGCAGCCTGTATATTTCGTGTCACCGTTAAGTATTATCCTTGGATCAGTTTTTGGGTGATGAGGACATCTTCCATGCATAGTTCAAAAGGCTAATTAGCACCAAAGTTACTACCTTTTAATATTATTTTAATATTATTGTGCAAAATGCCTCTGTCTTTTATTTTTTCATCTTTTCGTTCTTATTTCAACGTTTCATTTTTTAAAAGTGTAAGTGAGTCCAAATAATTATTAAAATGCCTAATAGGACAAAACATCCATACGTTTGATCTATAGTGTGAAAAACGTTATTACATTTCAAATTGGTGAAAATAACGTTTTCCACAATGAAACGTAGGAATAGAGACAAAAATACAAAAAAAATTGAAACGTAAGGACATTTTCCACAAGAAGTGTCAAATATAGAGTTTTTTTACTATTAGGTCCTATTAAAATATTAAAAATAACAAAACTCTCTCTCTACCCTCTTCTTCTCCAAATGAGACTGCCACATTAGGAGTGAAAAAAACTCCGACCAATCATTGCTCAAACCGTCGAACTCCATACCGTTAAACCATCTGTTGATATTTTAGGACCATAAAAAGAGGGGCCCTAGTGAGTATAGTCGATTGGTTTGTTGGAAATGACATGAGTCTTTCCAGAACCAGTTATGCCACTAGTATTTACATTTCCCAAGTTGGGTAATTTAGCTTGCAATTTTGAACAAATTTATTGGCATGAAGGTTTCAACGTTGGACGTTAGGTGGTATGTGCAGAGGAAGTGAGAGCTTTTCGTTGGTATGGTGGTCCAGCAGTTTGGGCGATGGTTTGTTGGAGTTTTTTGATTTCAAAGGTGACTGACTCATTTGGAGAAGAAGAAGAGATAGAGAGAGAGAGTTTTTTTTTTATTTAAATATTTCAATAATATTTAATAGCAAAAAACATTCGTACGTTTGATACTTCTTGCGGAAAACGTCCATACTTTTTATTTTTTTTGCATTTTCATCCATATTTTCACATTTCATTGAGCAAAACTTAATTTTACCAATTTCAAACGTATGGACGTTTTGTACTATTAAGTCTTTTAATAACTATTTGGACTCACTTGTACTTTTTAAAACATTTAGAAGTAAGATTGTAATTTATTATTTATTTTTCTTTTTTTTTTTGGTTTTATTTAAATGGGAGGTTTTTGGTCATTTTACATTAAAATTGGTGAAAATAACGTTTTCTGTAATGAATCGTTGAAATAAGGGCGAAAATATCAAAAAATGAAAGATAGCGATGTTTTGCACAATAACATTAAAAAATAATGATCTTTTGTGCTAATTACCCTATTTCAAAACACCGAAATTGGTACAAAATGCCTCCAATGTTGATCCATAGTTTATACCAACGAGTCCCACCCATGCGGGAGGATGAATTTCTTTATGTACCAAATATTAAAAAAAAAAAAGTTGAACCCCAACCTTGAGGGTTCTCACCGTTCAGCCACTAGAGCTTTGTAAGGGAGGTAAATCACGAGATGTGCCCCCAACAGGTTAGGGAATAAGAGCTGCCTAGGAGGAGTCCAATTTCATGTCTTAGAAATTGAATCCCCACACTGCGGCTGTCAGCAAGACGTGAAATAACCTCAATCCTGTCTTTTGCATCACTAAATTATATCCCAAAGGACTATGTACCAAATATTATGTACTACGTAAGAGAACGAACACCCTGCGTACCAAATATTATACATGTATCTCTATCCTCCATAAAAACATGCATCACTTCCCATTCAAATACAAACTTCATTAAAAAACTGACAACTGACCACAAATTCTTTCATAATTAACGGCACGTGTTCTAAACATAATACGGTGGTCGGGTAGAAATATCAATAATCCCGTCCATCTTGGGTCCCATTACCTTATTGAAATAAGGAAAACCAGTTGTTTTGATAAACTTGATTTGTACAACTCAAATACCCCTAGAAAATTCAATTTCGAGTAATCATATTTCCCTTCAAGATTAATGTCTGAAGTTTGATTTGAAAAGGCTGAAAAACGATGTCAGAAGGCGGCTTGTTCTCAACTTATTCACTCTGCAGTTCTGCAGCTGGAGTTCTAGGTACTTTTTTCACCCCATCTCTTGCTTCTGGGCGTGGGGTTGGGATGGGTTTATCTAGGGGTTTCTGGTTTGCTATCATCTGAGTTATTGCTCTACAGCAATGATCTACATTTGGGATTCTTATAGTTTCATTTTTTTTTCTATTTTTTAATTTTTGCTTAATGGGCTATTTAATTTGTGCATAATTGCTTAAATTTCTATTTGATCTTCGAGAACATATGTTTAAAAATAATTATTTTTCCTTATAAGGTGAAAAAGATTTTCTGAAATGGTGAAGAAAGTTAGGAAATTAAGATTTTTGATTTTAATCACAAAGTCAACTCTGCTGGAAAGTATTAACTTTGTTCACAAATTATGGGATTTTAGTTGTTAGTATATTCTATTATATGATAATCATATGGTCAACTATTGAGGAACATAATCCCACACAATTGAGAAAATATCATAGAAATTATTCTTTAAAATCTTTCCGCATCTTCAACATTAGTGTTTTAATGCTAAAACAAACAAAAAAAGGGAAGACAGGAGATTGGAGCATGTTTGCCTAAGAGAAAAAGTTTAACCAATTTTTGTTTCCAACCATGTTTTGATAAGTTTACTTAAGTAAACGGAGTTTATCTTGAAAGTGACCTTTTCCTTATTGTCAAATTTACACACATTTGTGCTTTTTTTGCAGGGAACCTCCTTGCTTTTGTGTTATTTGTATCACCTATGTAAGATTCTCAATCTTTCAAGAAACCACAGAAGAATAAGTTTTCAAATAATTGATCAGTTATTAAAAACAAAATTATATGTTTATCTTGCAGACCGACATTTAGGAGAATTATAAGAAGCAAATCGACAGAAGAATTTTCAGGGTTGCCTTATATATATTCTCTCTTGAATTGCTTGATATGCCTTTGGTATGGGACACCTATTGTATCTCCTGGCATAATTTTGATTTTCACGGTGAATTCGATTGGAGCCATTTTCCAGTTCATTTACATAATCATCTTCATTATATATGCGGATAGAACAAAAAAGGTCATTAATTCTTACATTTTGGATATATTTAAAGTCATCATCGCACTATATTTGTTACTTAACTGGGTAGGTTATATACATTTGCAGGTGAAGATGCTCGGCTTGTTACTTGCAGTGTTTGCCGTATTTGGGGTGATTGTGTTTTTAAGCATTAATATCTTCGAACCACCAAATCGACAACTTTTCATTGGATATTTGTCCGTCTTTTCTCTTGTATCAATGTTTGCTTCTCCACTATTCATTATTGTGAGTTCATTCAATAAGTTAAGCTCTTTACTTTTATTTAAGTATGTGTTATCTGTGCTACTAACTTATTACTTAAAACTATCTTTTATTGCAGAATTTGGTGATAAAAACAAAGAGCGTCGAATACATGCCATTTTATCTCTCGCTTGCGACCTTTTTGATGAGTATTTCCTTCTTTGCATACGGAATGTTCAAGCAGGATCTATTTATTTCTGTAAGTGTTTGTACTCAACTATCCCTTATTGCATACTGTGCTTTGAAGTTCTTGAGTCAGATGTGAAAGGCGATAACAAAAGAGTGAAGTGCACATCAATGAGCAATTTCCAATTTCGACTGTAGGTTTTAACTGTAACAGAGAAGACGAATAAAGTTTCCACACCCCTTTTATGCACACAAAAGCACCCCTAATGAATTGATGCCTTAGTGACATCTTGAAAGTAATATAGGTCCTTTTTTTTTTCCCTGATTGTAAAATTAGGTTCCGAATGGGATTGGAGCAATTCTCGGGATTATACAGTTGGTGCTGTACTTCTGTTACAGTAGAAAATCTGGGGAGGAGAGTCGAAGACCTCTGCTTGAGTCTTATGCATGACTTAGAGAATTATTGCTCAAACGGTGCGGTGGGATTTTACATTTTTTTTTATTTGGAGTTAAAATTGTCCATGAATAATTTGTTATGTGTATAATTTTTTTTTTTAAATCAAGCATCAGAAAATCCATTTCGACATTTTCTCAAGTTCTTTGAAATATCGTCAATGAAGCTTTTGACAAGCACATGAACCAAACACACTTCATATGTTTGTCAGCACACTTATATTGACGTTATATGGAATTTGAGGAAATGGATTCTTCGTTTTTTAAATTTTGCTTTCATTGATACAATAATCTTTGTTTTCGTTAAATTGAAATATTGAATAGAATTTGTATGAGGTTTGATTTGAATAATTGAATTGTATTAATATGAAATGTACAAAGTTGTAAAAGTAAAATGTATAAATAATAAATCGATTGAGATTTGTAATTGGGTATGAATTTTTTTTTAGAAATTTTATTTTGAAAACCCTCCTTCTTTGATCCGGATTTAGGACCGGCTACTTATTTTCAAGTAGGAGGAGTTAAAATTATACACTAACAACTAATTACATTTATATATATATATATATTTTTTTAAATGAAGCCAAAAAAATTAGGAGAAAAATGATCTAGCTTGTGAAAAGAAAATGAGCTTTGGTTTGACCCATGGCTCGTCTTAAAATGAACCAAACCTCCAAGGCTTGAGTCGGATGAAGCTGAATCCGTTAATTGATAAACAACTTGACTCGTTTGTTATCCCTAGATCCATACCCAACAAAATGATCTTGGCTTGACCCATGGCTTGTCTTAAAATGAACCTAGACTTCCAAGTGTTGAGTCGGATCAAGCCGAACCTATTAATCGATTAACAATTTGATTCGTTTGTCATCTCTAGATCCATACCCAACAAAATTCTATGAAACGGCCCATCAGGGGCTTGTCGGGTCGACGCATGTGGACCTGGACTTCGACATTTTTTAGGGAGGAATTAGTGGCCAACAGCCAGTTGACCCGGCCAGTTTTCCAAAGAGGCCTTTCACCAGTTAAAAAAAAAGGCAAAATTATTTAAAACATAGAAAACCAACAAAAATAAAGAGAAACCCAATTTTACCCTCAGGACTTGCAAGGAAAAAGAAGCAGAAGCAAAGAAGGAAAAGTAATGTAGCACAGCCAACTCAGTCACCGACAAATAAGGAAAAACAGGAGACTCAGTTGGCCATTTCTCTCTGAAGAAGGTAAGATTTTTATACAAAAAAAAAATCATGTTTATATTTTTATTTTTGGAAAAAAGTAAGATTTTATATATATTTGTTGAGAAATTCTTGTGTAAATGTGGAATTTGGGTTGTTATTGCTTGGGAAGGAATGTAGATCGCCGGAAATAGAGTTTTTCGGTGATCTCCATGGTCGGAAATGGAAGGCTGCTGGTTGGGCACGCCCAGCCGGCCCGGACGCCCAGACGGCCCAGTTGGGTCGACTGGGCTGGGCAACTGGGTGCCCAATCGACTGGGCGCCCAATCGACTGGGCGCCCAGTCAACTGGGCACCTGGGTCAGCCGTTATTTTGGGCCCTTTTTTTTGGTAATTATTGAAGTTAATTAAATAATTATTAATGGCTTATATTGTGTTCTCTAATATGTAATTATTTATTTGAANTTTTTTTTTATGTTATGTGATTCCATATTGTATGATGATGTCATGCTCAAATTTGTTAGTTGTCGTACAATTATTATTCAAGAGATCAAATGCAGGGTTGCTCATTTTGGTTTATTTAATTTTAATACTTTCGTTTGAATCTGTAATTTGCTTCCAATTCTTGTTCTATTGAGGCTAATCTCTCTGTGTGGGTTCATTTTCGGCTCTTTTTTGAGTGTAGACTTGGTCAAAAGAGTTTGTCGGTGTCTCGAGAAGGGTTCGACTCCGCTCAGACACTTTGTGTAGAGCCAAGTTTGGAGACCACTGAGATCTCTTGTGGTCCAAGACAGGTTTGGAGACCGCTAAGATCTCCTGTGGTCAAGGACAAGTTTAGAAGTACAAAATCAACTGGGTGGTTCAGGCCTAGCTCTTGAGTTGGTATCTTAATTACGATTTTTTTCCTAAAAACAATTTTTGTATTATATCTATACCCCGTCCGAGCCGACTCAACTCAACCCTGTAACATCCAAGCCTGGTTCGTGTTCAAATCCGTAGCTTTGCTTGGCCTTTATGAGCCAGCCGTTCACGAGCTAACATTTTTTTTTCCTGTTTTAAATTTAAAAAATCAACAAAATAAGCTAACAAACAAGTACACTTATATATATATATA